GCACTTGTGTTGCAGTTACAGAAAACTTTAAGGCTCATGAAAATAGCAGTTAATGATGGAAAAGCTGAGAAATCATTGATTATAGGATTTCCAGAAAGAATTAAGGTAATGTACTTCTGGTATTTTCTTCCAGCTCTTGACACCCCTTCTCTGTCTTTCATTTAGGTGTAATAAACTTGACATATGAGTGTTTAGGTCTTATTTGAGTTGCCAGGACACAACCTAGGAAATAAAATCAATTTTCAATTCAAAATAAACCTATTGAACAATAAGGTATGTGGTTCTACAAGGTTATATGAACAAGAAACCAAAAGAAGTCAAAAACCATATATATTTATATATATAAAGATCACTAGTTATTAGGAGTGGAAGAGTTCATTTGTATTAAATTGCTATTGACTTTTAACAGTGGTGTACTTTTAAAGGCACTTTTTTGCATGCTTCCCAGCACCATTATATTAGCAATACTAATGCATTGGTTGTCTTTACTGAACTTGGGTACAATTAAAAATTGCTACTAAAGAAAAAAAATGTTGGAAACTTTGTAGCACTGTGAGATTTATTTTCTCTCAGATTGAATTTAGTGTTTCCTGGCTATAGCCCTGCGTACTCAATATGCTGTGAGAGCTTAGCTGGTTTCTTTCCATATCATAAAAGGTTTTAAAATCCAAAGAATGAAACTGTTAACATTTAATGTGCTATGTGTTGGCAACTGAAGCCTACCAAACAGGATTCTGCAATAAAAAACGTTAAAATTAAATTGAGGACCCTGCATGATGCTGAGGAGAGAACAGTTTTAATAATGCCATTTTCTTATAACTTCTGTTGTGCAATAAAGCCAGCCTGAAACAATAACGCAGTGATGATCCAAACAAGGAATAATAAGGACTACAAGCAACAAGGAAGATTTGCTTTCTTTACACAATCTGTTATGAAATAAATAAATAAAACCAGTGTCAAATCGATCTTCTACCTCCCACTGTTGCTGTTAGCTTTTCCACCAATTAGTTGCACCTTTCTGTGGAAATTGTGCCTCATTGCAGTTATTTCTATACTGATTAACAATTCCAGCCTTCAATTTTTTTCTATTTTTCTTTTTTCCTGGAAAAGTAGTTTATGACTATCTGCTGTTCAAACATCCATTTAAAAGATTAGCTTGTAGCACTGAGTGACTTGATTCTCTCTCGTGAATTATCTATATAGGCATGCTCAGGCCAAGATACACTACACTTTACATTTTCTGTTGCATGTCCTCTACTACTGTATGCCTGATTCTCCAGCTAACCAAATTATTGCTGTTCACCTAGACCTAACGGTTGCTGCTCTCATTTATCACAGAGTTTGGTGTTTAGCTGAATGATAGAATCATAGAATGCATTGGGTTGGAAGGAACCTTTAAAGCTCATCCAGTCCAACCCCTGCACTCAGCAGGGACATTGGGACCAGATCAGGTTGCTCACAGCCCCATCAAGCCTGACCTTGAATATCTCCAGGGATGGGGCCTCCACCACCTCTCTGGGCAACCTGTGCCACTGATCTACCACCCTCATGGTGAAGAACTTTTTACTAATATCCAATCTAAATCTAATCTTTCCTAGTTTAAAACCATTCCCCCTCATCCTATTGTGCCATGCCCTAGTGAACAGTTAGTGAACAGCAGCAGTTAGTTGTTTTTCAGAGTAGACACATATTAGATAATTACTTGTGAAAATAGATTTTAAAATTATCAAGTATTCAGTAATATTTATATATTTGGCATTTTAGGAGAATTTTTGCCTAACTATTAAAAAAAGGATAATAGAGAAAATAAATTCCATAATGTAGTCATTTGTTCTTCCTCACACTAGAATTTATAAGAATTGCTTATTTATTTATTTTAAATGAGAAAAAACCTCTGAAGTTGTACCTTCTGCATCTAAAAGTGATGCAATTGCAAATAAACTACAGTGACTCAGTCCATAAATAAAATATATCTAACTTTTGCACTTTTGTTACAGCATGCCAAGTGACCTGCCGCATGTTTTTAAAGTCATTTGAAGAATTAATGCATCGTAAAATAAGGCCTCGATATTTGTGTTCAGTCTGGCTCTTAATTAGTTTGCAAGAAAAGTTGAGGTGACCTTGACTGTAGTTTTTCAGAATGGCACATTAGAAATTATTTCCCAATAGCAGAGCTTCCTATTCTCCTTTATCCCATGCTTTGAGAGAAGATAACTTGTCTCTGTCACAACGTTGGGGAAGAAGATATGCAAGGCAGGATTTACCAAGTGGGCTGATCCCATTGGATAGACGTTCTTTCCTCTTCTTCCAGTAAGGAGAAATATAAATGACAAGAGAAAATGCTGTGTTAGAAAAATCATTTAATAATGCTGGATGGTCTTAATAATTCTCTTTTTTTTTAATAATTAGGGATTGTTTTCTTCCAAAGTAGGTAGGCGTACTAGTTTGCCGTAGAGAAGGTGAGGAGTCAGGAGGATATTTGAAGGTAGTCTCTTGGAGCGAGTATCTCATATTACTTTTAGTGATTACTGGCCTACATGTAGCACAGTTTGGATGACCAGGACAGTCATCTGCCCAGTACATTTTAATCATTATCCTCCTTTCCATTTTTCATCTCAACTGTCAGTGATTTTTACACCATTTAATTTATATTCACTAAATCAAATTGAGAGATAAAATAAGTTTATGCTTATGAGCTGGACCCTTGATGTTGTGCACTGCTTATTTTTCAAGTTCTTGCTTTTCTGTGCCAATAAAATGTGCAGCCAAGGCCCAGCTATGCGATTGGCAGTATAACCATATGCATCTAAGTAGTATGAAGGTATCTTAAAAAACCAGTTCAGACCATAATCTTAATGACCTCAAAAGAATAGCATCTGATGGTAAATAGGTGTCTGTGATGATCTTGAACCAGTTCAAAGGCCTTACAAGAAGTGCATTCAGAACTGAAATTAGTCAGCACCCTGAATCCTATTCTAAGCAAAGAGTCTGAGCATTAAAAAGATAACAAATCTGAATTCCTTTTTTAACCTTAAGACCTCTCTCTCCAGCTGTTACAGAGGGTATGTGGTTAGCTGAGTTGCAGTATCACATAATACCTATTAGAAGAGGCTCTTATGTATCGCAATATATCCAAGGGGTTGTGGCACTCTTATGCCATCTACCACTCAGAGAAGATTAATAACTTGAATATAAGAAGTTAGCAAGTTGATTACAGACTGGTTAGTGTTTTAAGCCATGAGAAATCTACCGTTTGTATTCATCTTCCTTCACTGGGGCAGTATTTCTTCAATTTTCATAATGGATATCATTCATATTTGATATTGTACTTGGTTTTTAGTATATAACCGAAAAGCAAAAGTGATTTTTGAGGGAATAAAAGGCAGTATTGACCTAAAATAAAATTATAGAAGCTTTTTTTCCCTCTGGATTTTTGGTATTGAAAGCAGTAATTGATTTAGTAAATAAATTATTAAATCCACCCCTCTGAAACAAGTGTGAAATGTGCAGAGGAAAAAAAAGACTTTCTACCTTAAACATTTTTAAAGGGATTGTACAAAATGCTTGACAGAATGCATTGTAACTGAATGAGTGACAGCTTTGCTATTTTGATATTTGGTAATCTTAAACTGCCACTTTTCAACTGTAAAGTTTTCCCTTGGAAAGTCAGGCACAGAGAGTTCTCAAATCATATGTCAGATTGCTATGAATAATGTTATTGAGTGAGACCAGTTTTTTAAGAAAAGTAGCTATTCCTTTTCCCCCAAAGGACAAAACCAGAAGCTAACAACAAAGGAAAATTTGTTCTCTGTATCTGTCACCATATCCATGACCATATGGATACCATGGGTATCATTCTGGTACCCATGAAAGTCACAGCAAAAACCACACCCATGTGAGGCACAGTGCAGCCACAAGAACAGAAAATGTTCATTAACTGCTTGGCCTCTTGCTATTTTCAGGCTTCTGAAATAAGATTTTCATTTAGCTAATACTCTATAGCTGTGATTAAAGAGAGTGGCATACCCTGGATCTTCTGGCAGAAGCGAGGATATGACAGCAACTGCATCTTGGCACTCTTTAGAGCAGAAACTTCAGGAAATTGGAGTTGTTTCACTCTGCCAGAAGGAACAGAGGTATCTGCTGGGGCCAACACAGTGGTTGGAGATGTTACATGACGGGAAATGTACTACATGGTGCGTTGTTTTGAGAATTGTTTGCTGGTTGTCTCCTGTGGATCCCTGGCTGGCTGGTACTAAAGGCTGCATCCCCATCTCCCCTCTCCCCAGGCGGCTCCCTGGGAGGTTCAGGGTAAGTATTGGCTCACCCAAGCTGTTGGCCTCTAGGCAGCAGGAGAGAAATGCCAGGTGACCTATGGGGAACTTTGAGTCTGAAAACATGAGCAAAGAACTCCTGAAGTGAAATGAATTGCTTACATAGTTTGTTACCATCAGTGTTATTACAGGTTATAGCTCACTTTGACCACAGCTCTACTTGCAAAGCCCCAGCTCATCAGGGCAGGAGTATGTTGTATTAACAAGTAATATGTCCTTAAACTTTATCTTAAATTAATGGGTAAAAATTTCCTCTTTTGGGGTAATAAACATCATATCTTCTGCTATGCAATGCTCAAAGTTAAGATCACTGAAAACTGTGCAGAAGTAATGTTGTGAGATTTTTTTTTAAAAAAGCAGAGTATGTGGAAATATTCATCATTGATCTTCAGAGATAAGATATTCCCTTCCAGTGCCATGCTTCCTGTAAGCCAGTTTTATGGCCCACTTATATTATATCTTTATATGCAGTTGCTTGTATGCCATAATGCTGTGTTATCAAATTGTAACGTTTCCTTTAACAGCACACTTTACTTGTCAGAAAAGCCCTACTGGAAGGTTTTGACAGTTTTGCTATGCATGCTTTTAAAATGATTGCTGTGTTTTCTCTGTAATTGCGGCCACTAATACACACCTGATCTTTTACTCTTGTCTCTGTATCACCAGGCCTCCTGAACCTGTTTACAGCACTGTGAACAAACTGTGTGATAAACCACCTTCTCCTAGGCACTATTCCCCTGTCGAGTGTGACAAAAGCTTCCTTCTTACAGCTCCCTATCCCCACTACCACGTAGGCCTGCTCCCTGACTCTGAGATCACCAGGTACTGCATGCGCTTCTTCCTCACCTCCTTCGTTAGAGTGCATGAACGTCACTAGATTTAGCTCATAGTTTGCATCTTCACCACAGATCTTCTTTTTTCTGCAGCTTGGCCTTGTTTTTAACCATGCTTTCACATTTGCACCACTGGAAGATATATGCTGCCTTGGTATATAATTTTGGTCATCCAAAATCCAGTGATGAGCACAGGCAATGTTTTGATCCTTTGGAATGGTGCTCTAAAATAGGTTACTTATTATGTATCACATTTTACCACTGAATTCAGTATTTGTTTCTCTGTGAGTACAGAAAATGACTAAGACGTCACTGAAAGCCACAGTAATTTGTTTTGATGCAGTCATTTTATTTCCATATTGCACATACTTTGTTCACTGAGCATCTTTGAGTTTATAGGATGGCTGCCTAATCCATCCAGAATTTGGGCAAGAAATAATCACCTCCCTCACCAAGTCATGGCTGAGAATATATCTAAAATTTAGATAACTTATGTTAGGTGTCCTCTGAGAGGATAGTTAGTAAAACCTAAAATGATGAACATTTCCATGGGTAATGGAAGACATTTCTATAATGTATTATCAGTGGTTGCCTCCTGAGAAATATTTAATAAGGAATAACATTCTATCCAAAACTATTTGCTAGTATAAGCCAGCTATTCTTTTATAGTCTACTAGGATAGTACTACTAGGATAGTAGTAAACCCAGACAACTTGGGAGATAGAGGAAGAGTTAGGCACAAATTTTCAGGAAGCTGTTGAGTGCTTCCTTTGTCAGGGAAAAAAAACTGTCATCTTTTATATTCTAGAGTAGAAGAAAAGTAATTGTATTTGGAGCTTTGATCACAGGTACTTTCTACAAAAAACACTTTTCAAAGAAAACAGTAACGTGTGAAGAGAAGAGCAGAAGTGTGTAAGTGGAAAGTAAAACGGTAAATTAACGTAAGATACAATACTAGAGAGAAACCCCAGGGATTAGAAAAACATCTGTGAAAGGCATTGCAGTGCTATGAAATAGAAAGCTAAATTAAAAAAGCAATAAAACAAATGCTAGTCAAGAACGCAGCAGATGTGGTCAGAACATGAAGAAGCTGTCAGTTTATTAGAATGAAAACTGTAGCTTCTAGAATTTGTAAAAAGATGTTTAATCACTGGACAAAGTAGTCAGGCTGTTCAGGCCACTGCAAGTTTGGGTGAAAAACATTGATAATGTTTTATAAATGTATCAGTAACTCCAGAAAGACACCAAGTGCTACCAGATCTATCCACAATATTTGGATTTCTCTGCAGATACCATCTTAAAGGAAATAACTAGCCAAAAAGTAGTAAATTGACTTCGGGTCTTTAGGTACAGCAAACATATGAGTAATTTATCTGTCAGCATCACAGTGCTTCTTTGTGTTTTGAGCCAAACAACACAAGAGATCATTATAAAAAGACTCTTACTTTTAAAATGATCCCTTTGGAAAGGAAGAGACCAACTTGAACTAGAAAGTTGAACAAGAAAGTCCCTGGGGAATTTGGGGCCATGGAGGTCTGTATTGGGAGTGATGAGGATTAGACTGTGGCTTGCTAACGATGGAGAGATACAATTCATTGCTAAATGCTCAGTCTCTGTAGACACCACTGTCAGGACTGTAGGGGTAGGTTGGGGGAAAAGGGTGAATCTGTTAAGGCTGCTTCCTGCACACCAGATACTCAAATGCCAATAATCAGTGGAGTCTTGGAGACATCATAGAACTGGGCCATTTTGCCACCTGCATCCTTTGACTGTATTGTGTGGTTGATTGAATACTTGGTCATCAGACATTTGATGATCTGATATCAGGACTTAAAAAGCTGAGTTTTAGTCTACTAAGTGTCCGTTAACATTTCTCTTCATTCTTCTTTGATGTAAAATTAAGCTCCAGTCCCTGTATATTTAATAAGTTTGTTTATTTCAACAGTGTTGTGTTTAGGGCTGGGCTGGCCACTAAATCCTGGACAGATGCTCTCTATGAACCCCTCTCACCTCCCCAGAAGGGGACAAGAAAGAGAATAAGGGAGAGAGACTTTACGGATTGGAAAAGAAAATGAACAGATTTAATAAAACAATAATGCTAATACTACAGGATAATAATGTAAATGGGAAAATAACAAAGTATAAATAAATATGTACAAATTTTTATATAAAACCAATATAAAATCCTCCCCCCATCCTCCCACCCCTCCCCCAATGACAAATACGTCACCAGAGGCTCTGCGGAGCAGGGCACTGGAAAAGTCCCAGTCTGGACCCAGCAGCAGTGAGCGCTGATGCAGGAACACAGGTGTCAGGATCAGAGGCAGATGAACCAGCAGGGTCTGCTCGGACTCCGACCATTGCAGGATCAGAAGAGCAGAGGGCAGGATCGAGAAGGGTCAAGACGGAAGAAAGGGTCCAAGATGGAAGGGTTGAGACCCTCGTGATCCCTCAGCTTTGTACTGAGTATGACGTGTGTGGGATGGAGTTGGTCAGTTTTGGGTCCGCTCCTCCCCAGAGGTGCAGATATGGCACCCATGGTGAGGCAGTGGCCTTGTCATTATCACTTGTAGAAGTACACATTGTCTGGAAAAACATGCAGTTAATTTCAGCAAGTACAGCCAGTTAGAAGAGAGTGAGCTGGGAAGTAAAATCACTAAATAGAAAATTAGTGCTGTTTAGCTCAGACCAAGACAAACAGTCCAACAGAAACTGCAAAAAACCACAAAAGATGAGAAATGACACAGCTCATGGTTAAATGCTCTGCACTATGCTCTGCTACGTGCTGTGGAAGGGGCAACTGATTGTTATGATTTAGACTTCCTTCCCACTGTGAAGTAACATCCGGATGGAAAATATGACAGCTTTTGATGTTCTGAAGTACTGTCATCTTTTCCACAGGACTCATTGAATAGTTGGCTGTGGAGGAAGACATTTGAAATAATATTTCACCAAATGCCTTTGGTGAAGAAAGTGACAGCTTTACAACATCTATCATGATCCAGTTTCCAAATGGACTCAGTATTCACAGTTGGAGAACAGATTTTAGAAAAGTGGTAATCCCATTTTAACCCTAATCCAAGTGGCTGTTTTTGCAGAAGTGTTCATTGCGTGCAGCCCTAAATTTCACAAAGGTGATGTGTCTCAGGGCTGTATTGTTTTTGGAAGAATTAATTCATAAAAAGACCTTGTTTAAAATCTGCAGCTGTGATGCCACCATCTCTATTGGAAGTTATACTACCAAAAAATCTTCCAAATATTGACCAGGTATTTTGAAAGGTCTGCCTTTACTCACCTGAATTCCTCGAAGCCCTGCTCCTCTACATTATACACTTCCATGATTTCCAGTGAAATATAAAAATATATCTCCCTGTCTTCCTGCAGGCTTCCTAGAAAGAGTTGTTCTTCAGAATTCATCAGCCTCAGCTGTGGGGAGGAAGGGACAGGGATTATTTGCTTGTTTTGGTAACTGCAGTCATCATTGTATCTCCAGTATTGAGAATTTGTTGCTGAACTGCAAGAAATTCGGTTTGACAAATAACTTTTCCACAGAAAGAGGAACATGATGCCGTGTTCTCCCAACTGAAATGCTTGTAAGCCAGCCAGTGCCTTCCAAAATGCAGCTCCAAACAATTTGTCAGCTACTCCTCAGCTGATTGTTTTGTCAAGGCTCATTAACTTAATAGGCAAAGAGAATTCATAGGCCAAAGCCATGTTTGTCTGTAATAAATTCAAGTTTATAACCCTTGCTTTTATGGTGGCCTGTCTTAGCTCCTGGGATATGTGGAGGTCTAGAACAATATGCTCCCATTTTAGGATAAAACTAATTTGTTTTTTGTTTGAATCATCAGTTCATGTGAACTGTTATTAACAGGGCCATGTCAATGTGGAACAGCTGAAAATCTGTCCCATTGAAGGCAGGAGTAGAGACAATGTTGGAGTAGTAAGTTTTCCTTTATGATGCAGGGTATTCAGGGACATGATTTAGTGCTGGACTTGGCAGTGCGAGGTTAACAGCTGGACTCGATCTTAAAGGTCTTTTCCAACCTAAGCGATTCTATGAAACTATGCTCTGGCCTCTGTCATTATTGACAGTTATGTGTACCATCAGAGGATTTGGCAGCGAAAGGAAAACACAGCCCATAGGTGTAACACTCTTTCTACAAACATGAGACTTCGCTTCTGCCTGAAGTAACGCAAAATGTTGTGTTCTCAGTCTTTGCACTGAAAACATCTTTACATTCACCACTACACAGATTGACTTAAAAATGTTAACTGTAGTTACCAGCACAGTTTTTGCTAAAAGGCAGTCCTGATACTGTGGATTTGTGTAATTTTTTTTGTCAATAGGTATTTTCTCTTAAGCCTTTGATTATGTGATTACATCAACATTTTTGAGTACGTGTGGGGGAAGGAGCTAAGAGTAGGGTTTCAGACTTTGTGGTCATGGGACAAAAGCTTGGGAACATGACGACTCCTACGAAAATAAAAATAGGTGAAAATTTTGTTCATCTTAAGTCGAGCTTTTGTAAACTTGCATATTCTCATTATGGTGCTGTTGCAGTGCCTCACCACCCTCACAGTAAATTTCTGCCCAATAACCAGTCTAAATCTCACCCCTTTCAGTTTAAAACCATTCCCCCTTGTCCTATCACTCCATGCCCTTGTAAAAAGTCCCTTCCCAGCTTTCCTGTAGCATCTTCAGGTCCTGGAAGGCTGCAGTAAGGTCCACCCGCAGCCTTCTCTTCTCTAGGCCAAACAACCGCATCTCTCTCAGCCTGTCTTCATAGCAGAGGTGCTCCAGCCCTCTCCTTAAGAATTATTTTAAGGTATTTGATGAATTGGATTAATTACATCAGTTCTCAGGACCACCACGACTTTCTCACCAATGGGAATTAGAGAAGATAATATTGCCCCAGATCTCTGGGGCAAAGTCTTTTGCAGAAAACAGCATGTCATTTGCATAGGTATTCAAGGGTAACTGAGCAT